TAAATAATTTAATTTTTACCATAAGGTAATTGATATATATTTTTAATGACAGATATGAAAAAACCTAATGTGAATAAAAGGTAAAAATAAGCAAGATTTTGAAGAATAAAATAACTAATAAATAAATAAATTGATAAATAAAAATAAACAATAAAAATAAAATATAACTTAAATAAAATAAAAGAATATAAAAAAAGAAATTGTATATTGAAAACCAAAGAAAATAATATAAAATGTAAATAAATAAAAAATAGAGCCACCAAACGTAGGAACAGGAGGAAAGCTAGACTTAGCAAACGGAAACAAGCGGCACTGAGCAACGTCATCCTGGTACACCAGCAGCCAAGTAAATACATTTGATATGCCAAATTGTGTATGTGAATTTAGATGCCAAACATTTAGTATAACCGAAATAGGCTTAAATATGTGTATGTGAATTTTACAAAAATAATTAGTAAAATGCTTTGTTTGTACAAAAAATGATAAGTAAATAAAAGAAAATAAAAATAAATAAAAAACCAAAGGGTGTATGTATAATTTTGACTGCTTTGTCATTTCCTACACTAATCACTCCTAATTATCAAAGATCAAACGACCTAATCAACATGATAATTGGTATTGAATATGATCATCGGTCATCATGCGGCATGACATATCCAAATAACGGAGCGTGCCGATATAAACTTCAATAACTTCTTAAACTTTGAATTGATTTTATTCAAACAAAAGTAATAAGATCAAAAATTAAATCTTTTATTGAATGCATACACTCAACGCTCACTAAAATATCTACCACATGTCACGAGTGCACTCAGGATGTCCTGAGCTATTTTTAGACGTACCGGACGACGGAAAGCGAAGGAATGTGTGAATGTTATATGGGGTGAGAGCTTCATGACCCCATATATATCGTATTAGGTCAATAGCACACTGTGTAACTAATATTATAGTGTTAGCCCTGTATAACCACGTGTTATCCGACGGAGAATGTCCGTCATTAAGTTGTCACATGTTTAGACGTGTATTTGATGTGGTGGCATGGTAATTTACATTATCATCCTTTATGACAGACAAAACAGCTGATCTGAAAGGTACACCATCTACTTGCCACTATCCATCATGTACTGTGTTACACTCCTTGACAAAACCGACCGTAGGAAAGGCTACCATCGACCACCGAAAGCTATATTTTTGTGTAGTCTAGGTGGTCGAGTGCTAGAGGGCGCCGGACACGGTGCAGGCGGTGTTGCCACGATGTCGCAGAAGCAAGGGTTCGAATCCCGCTGAGGGAAGAACATAAATTTACTACCGCAAATTTTAAGATCTAACATTGTTGGGCTAAATTTGAGACGAGTTATATATAGAAGATGTTTGTATATTAATTACAAAACAACAGTGGGAGAACCGATGACGCAAGAACAACAGAGAAGTGACTTCTTCTATAAAAGGCGGCAAAATCAATACATTAATTTGTTTACGCCGGTAACAATAATGATTAAAAGTCAATTCTAATCCATAATCGTGCATTTTTAAGACATAAACTGTTAAACTATGCTATTTGACATTTACATACACAATGTCTTATTTTTATCATTTATCGAGAAAACTGCATTAGAAGCTTGCTACAGTGAAATTTTAAAAATGTTAATCTTTGCTGCATATTGATAACAAAAATGTAAAATATCATATTCATACAAAATCTAAAGCACTTTTCAGTCAACAATGTTTGAGTGTTCCACATACATAGTCCTTAGCATGCATGATACAATTTCCCAAAGATTCTTATTTTCCACACCTAAGTTTTCTAACGCACAGGTCTGCCCATTGCCACTAGCACTTTCGATGTCTAAGATGCATGATTTTTTATGATTTTTTATAGGCTTTGAACTAGCTTCCGTTAATTGCGAGTACTCCTTGATCTGTTCTCTGTGTCTTTAGTGCTTTTGTTAGTTGTTTGCGTGTTTTGTTTCCATCTGATGGGGGGCGGTAGCAAATATTAAGGTACAAAATTATTTTTTATTATACTGATAGTTATAATGATATGAATAATGGATATCATAAAAATAACGACAATAATAATAATAATAATAATAATAATAATTATAATAATAATGATGATAGTCTTTTAACTTCAAAATCATAATATCAATTGAGCATACCAAATTTCATATTTATGGTTTATATGCTTATACCTTCTTGTACCCATGTTATTTTTATATGATTAATGGAGATCATAATAATAACGAAAATAATAATAATAATAATAATTAATAAATATGATAATAATAATGATAATAATAATAATGATAATGATAATAATAATAATGATAATAATACTATTAATTATATTAATAATAATAATGATAATAATAATGATAATAATAATAATGATAATGATAATGATAATAATAATAATAATAATGATAATAATAATGATAATGATAATGATAATAGTAATGATAATGATAATAGTAATGATAAAAGTTAAATTAATCATTTAAAAAGAAAATATAAATAATAATCATAACCCTATTGATAATAATAATTATAATAATAGTTAATATTATTATAAAAAACAATTAATTATAATAATAATAATAATTATTATTATAAAAAAACAATTAATAATAATAATAATAATAATAATAATAATAATAATAATAATAATAATAATAGTAGTATTAATGATAGTATTATAATAATGATGGTTTAAATAATACCGATGATTAGAATAATGATAATTAGAATAATATTGATAATTTAAATAATAATAATGATACTACCAATAACGATAATGATTGTTATAATAGTCATTATTGTTATACTTCACGTAAAAATGCAATATTTTGATTGGCTTATACGAGTGTGTTAATTTACTCTATTCTATGGTAAATACTCTATTACCCTTCACGGAGACGCTTGATCAAGTGTGCGCTTTATCAAATACGACTCCATCCAATGGCAAATACTCTATTACCCTTCACGGAGACGCTTGATCAAGTGTGCGCTTTATTAAATACGACTCTATCCAATGGCAAATACTTTATTACCCTTCACGGAGACGCTTGATCAAGTGTGCGCTTTATTAAATACGGATGGTTTGAATTTGAAATTTAATCGACAGTAATAACAGAACATTCAGTATAATAAATTAAATAACACATATCTGAGAGGGTGATAGAGCAGATTGTTACCCCTCGAAAAGACACTGTCAACCTTGGCTTCGCCTCAGTTGACAATGTTTTCTCGGGGTAACAATCTGCTCTATCACCCTCTCAGCTATGTGTTATTTATATATTGTCATTATTATATTATTCGTTCCAAGAAATTGCTGGTAAAGGTAATTTAATATTATAAATTTGCAAAATTTGCTAAATTTGCTTATGTTTGTAAAATTTGGCATCGTAGGACAACCGTAACTTAAATAAATCAATTTGATCTAAAAGACAATATAAAAATAAGATGATGTGGTATAACTGCTAATGAGACAACCCTCCACCAGAGACCAAATGACATCGAAGTTAACAACTATATGTCACCAAACAAAAATTAGACATATCACCTATCAGCCAAAGGAATGCTTAAAAGAAAATTGTCTTAGTTTAAGTCACATTCGGGTGTTAAGAAGAAATATGTCCTTATAAACAGGGTAATTGAATGTATAATACCGAGCGTATCGAGGCGAATTTCTTTTTTCGGACGATCTTATACAATAAATTTATATATGTCGTGAAAAACATGAGTTTTTTTTATTTTTATTTGTTTGGCGATCAAAGGGGCTCTCCCTTGGATCCGCCACTGATATATACCACAGTCCGGTGCTTAGAAGACTACCTTTTGTTCACAGTCCGGTGCTTAGAAGACTACCTTTTGTTCACAGTCCGGTGCTTAGAAGACTACCTTTTGTTCACAGTCCGGTGCTTAGAAGACCACCTTTTGTTCATAGTCTGGCGCTTAGAAGACTACCTTTTGTTCACAGTTCGGTGCTTAGAAGACTACCTTTTGTTCACAGTTCGGTGCTTAGAAGACTACCTTTTGTTCACAGTCCGGTGCTTAGAAGACTACTTTTTGTTCACAGTTCGGCGCTTAGAAGACTACCTTTTGTTCACAGTCCGGTGCTTAGAAGACTACCTTTTGTTTACAGTTCGGTGCTTAGAAGACTAACTTTTGTTCACTATTCGGCGCTTAGAAGACTACCTTTTGTTCACAGTCCGGCGCTTAGAAGACTACCTTTTGTTCACAGTTCGGTGCTTAGAAGACTACCTTTTGTTCACAGTGTGGTGCCTAGAAGACAACCTTTACCTTTTGTTCACAGTTCGCTTCCTTTCACTGGTTTTTAAATATCTATAATACTTGGAAATATAAAATTTTCTCAAGTTACATAATTATTATTTGCAAACTGGCAGATTTCATGAGAAATTTTTTCATTCATTCAAATGTGATATTATTTACAAAGTTCTATCAGAACTTTTAATTCTGTATTCGAAAACGTTGTTTGATTACATCTTTTATGAAAATCAAACTTTGTTGTCTAATAGTGATACGCATTTGAAAATTAGTCATGTTATATAAATATATATGTTATATTAAGCAATTTCAATGACCATATGTAGGGGCGGATCCGGCCATTTTTAAAAGGGGGGTTCCAACCCAGGAGAAAGGTAGAGTTCCAAATATATGTCCCCATTAAAAAAAAGGGGAATTCCAACCCCGGGAACCCCCCCCCCCCTTTTTGGATCCACCACTGAAATTGAAGGAAAAATAGTATACAATTAAATATGTAATGATTTTTTTTTATGTTTTACTTATTATGTATTGAAAACACATACCGATACCGAGTGAGTAAAGTTCTTGTGCGCCATTGCTGGTCCTTTATAGCATCTTAATTATTTATATCGTAAACATACACGTTAAAAATATTGTTCACTTTTCAGATGATAAAAAATATAACAGATGGATTGAAGAATTCGACATGTCCGACGGACGATGGCGGGAGACGGATGGTGGCGGCTCTCGCCCTTTTTGATACACATTTCAACATGGCAATGGTTTACATAGCTGTTATAGCAGTGGCACTTTTAATAGGAACTTTTGGAAACTTGATGATACTGCTTGTAGCATTTTGGTCAAGAGGACTGAACAAAGTTGGTAAAGAATTTATGGTGAATCTTGCACTGGCCGATCTCTGTGTGGCTGCAGTAGCTGATCCAATGTGTATTGTAGGTAAGATTAAACACCTGCGTCAGTATATATATATATATATATAAATAAGATGGGTTATGATTGCCGAGTTGGAACCCCCTTTTTTGTACGATCAATGCTTTTGAATGGTGACATATGGTTGGACCTATGGTAGCGAATATCTGCCATAATTATACATTTCTTAATTTATAAAATGCAATTTCTAAATTTGTAACATGCAATTTCTTAATTTGTAACATGCAATTTCTTAATTTGTAACATGCAATTTCTTAATTTGTAAAATGTAATTTCTTAATTTGTAACATGCAATTTCTTAATTTGTAAAATGTAATTTCTTAATTTGTAACATGTATTTTTTTTCATCCGTTACATGAATTTCTATATTTCTTGATTTGTGATATGTAACTTCTTAATGGGTAAATGCAATTTCTTAATTTGTTAACTTATTTTCTTCGTTCTTTACATGAAATTCTCTATCCTTAATTTGTGAATTTGAGTCACGTTTTTGGAGAATGTGTCAGTGTAATTGTTACTGCTGCCAGCCAATGAGAAGTTCCGTTTCTAGATTCGGAGCGATTTAGAGTTTAAAATTATGTATACCAAGTTATGTATTTATCAATTTAGTTATGCGAATTTTAGCGAGTAGAAAAAACAACGGGAAATAAATTGTCGAGTATATTGGTTTAGGAATACGGTACATTAACTGTGTTAAAAAGTAATAAAAAGTAAGCAAAAATCGGCTAGATGGGGCTAAACAGAAAACTATCTGCGAAAATAAGTTGGGTAACAGTAACATATATACACCTAATGATGGAGACCGTATGTTGAACTCCACCTATACCCAAAGTTTCTGCTTATCTCCAAAATAAAACAGTTTACCATACCATACCATACATGTATAGTCCGAGTGGTCTAAGTAGTTCATCTACTGTACCACTTGCCGCTTAACACTCAGGTTGTGAGTTCGCACCCCCCCCCCCCCCTCGCCCCCCACGTGGCAGGTGCGTTCAACTCCAATCTTAACTGACTAGGAGTGTCAGTTTTCCTATCGAAGATCGATGGTTCTCTGCTGACCCTCGAACTTCCTCCACCAAAATTAAGGATGTTCGCTTCTCTGTTTTGAAATAACAAGCTTTTTAAAAGACTGTTAGAAATTGATAGTATATAAATAAAGAAACTAAAAAAGCAGAAAAGAATGAAGGGTCCGTGTGCTTGTTTTCGAGATATCAGCCATTGAAAATTTGGCGGGAAATAATTCTCTCTAGATTTTTCATACATTTTACATTGGCACCCTTTTTGTTTAGAAAATCATGAAAAAATAACGAGGATTTTATAGCATTTTCAAATATGGCTTTTTAAACTATATGTAATAAAATTATGAAAAGAAAAGTAGAGGTTAGCGGGGGAAATTTTTTAATGGTACTACATGGATAAAACCAGAGGATTCCGAATATCTGCCAATAAATTCAAAAGCAAGAGGAGCGAACATCCTTAAAAAACCAACAATCAATTCGTCAAACATTTCTTAAATAAAAATTCAAAACAAATTTTCTCTGTCTGTCGTATATATATATATATGGTAGATGGAAAATTTATATGTAATTTTTGACATTTGTTGTTAATGGTATTAAACTGTCGTTGCAGGTGTGATTAAAGGGGAGAATTTTTTCAGTGGTCGGCCCTGGTTGTGTCACCTCATCGCCAGTATGTGTCTGACAGCCTGTTTCTGTGCATTTGCTAGTCTAACGATGCTGTCATTGAACCGTTACGTTTACCTGTGTCACAACGAGATCTACGACAAGATGTACGGGCGCATAACTTGCATTGTAATTTGCGTGATGTGCTGGGTTGCTGCCTTCCTTTGTGAATTCCCGAATTTTGTCGGATGGGGCGGCCATTACTTTGACGACAAGAACCATCAATGTATCTGGGATCGAACAAGCAGCTTGTCCTATACTCTTTTTGTAGCGATTGGCTTGATTGGTTTTCCTCTTCTGACGATGACGATTTGCTTCATTCTTATATTTCGTCGGATTTGGAACACCAAGAAAGCTCTTTACGATATAGACAAAGAACAGGATGGACGGATGGGAAAGGTGATGGTGGAAAGTTTCCGGACGGCCAAGACTATATTTGTCATCTTCGTGGTTTTTGTCATCTGCTGGACACCGTATGCTATAGTCATTGCCATTGATGTTGAGAACAAACTTCCAATGCCGATACACCTGTTTACTACACTTCTGGCACATCTTCATTCGAGTTGCAATTTCATCATTTACTTCGTTGGCAACAAGAGGTTCCGAGTAGTTCTTGGACGCATCTTTGGATGTCAAGACAAAACAGCTATTCTATCCGAAACTAAGAGTTCCAGTGTTCCCGACAGTCCAGGTACAACAAGATATAATAATTTTAGTGGAATAAAACCACAGTTGAAGATTACAAAGAAACAAACATCGACTGGATCAGATTCTTGTGATGGTCACATATGATATGACGTATTATTATCTCCGAGTTATGACCTTGTTCCTTTTGTTTTATGCCCGCCTACGATAGTAGAGGGAAATTATTTGTTTTCTGTGCTGTCCGTCTGTTCGTCCGATAGTCTGTTAGGGTGTCTCGTATCAGGTTGGAGTAATTTGTTAAGGCCACGCAAAATTAATACCTCGTTCGTCGGATTCCCCGCGTGTTGTGAAAGGTCGACCAGAAAAAATTACTTTTTTTAAAAACCCGGCCGCGTCCAGTACGGATCCGCGCGCGTCCGTCTCTAAATTTATGAAACAAAAATTTTAATCAGTTGTGCGTTTGAAAGTAACACCATACAGACACGGAAATTGACAACAAAAACGATCTAGATCTAACATTCAAACACTGTTGTTACAATATCATTGCCAAATCTAGCCTATGATAAGCATTCTTAAGGAAAGACATGAGTGGACTATTTGTAGTTACAGTGGTAATGCATACAAACACATCAGTAAAATATGATTAGGCCACACCAAATTAATTCTAGTTCTTCGGATTTTCCCTTTGAAAAAAGGTAGAGAGCGAGCGAAATTTTTTCATTTGTTTGTTTTTTTTAATTTTAATTTTTGGCAGGCGAGGGAAATTTTTACAAGCGAGCGATATAATTTTTAGAATTAAAAAAAAAAATCTACGAAATGAATTTTATGCAAAAGAGCGATCAGATATTTAGTGTTGATACTTCAGTGATGTTTATATATTTCTCCTATCCTAGTTAATAGATCACCTTCTTTGCCTCTTTATTTGTTCTCCAACATACGGTTAATCTTTTCACAAAGTTTCCAATACAAATATGAAATGGTTAAACAGGCAGCAAAAGCCACAATAACGAGTAGTTTGATCAAATAAATATGATCCTGCTGAACATGATAAGTATAACTGCTTTAAACAGGCAGACATCCATAGTTGAAGTAATTTATAATTGGTCCATTGTATGTTGTTTTGAATAAACGCTTGCAAAGTATATATTCATGTACATGCAACGTAATCTATGTATTACTGGTAAATTATTAAGTCAGGGATTTCGTTACCACAAATTACTTAAAACCGTTACTAAATTCTTCCACACATATAAAGATTTGGTTTTGAAGTTTGGGTGTACCTGTAGAAAACTTATTTCAAACGGGATTGCACATCCTCATTTTTACGGCAATATTGTTTACCGTGCCCGGAAATTTAGAAACGATCATGGTAAACTTATCGATCCTTTAAATAAATTTATTCTAAAAGGTTACCAATTCAACACTGTAATTATATCATTAAATATTGTTTTTATTGGTACTTATATGGATTTTGTTATCAGTAAATTAAAAACAAACTAAATATTATTGTTATATACATATACACATTCATGGATATACAATCTGTCGATACCTGTATCTTGGCATTGCACAAGGTCATGTTTTTCTCTGACTGTTTATGACGTCTTTTCACTAAATCCATTGGATGTTGGATGTGTACGGATTGATAATTTAGTCTTAGATGCATGATATTTTTTATTAGTTGTTAGTGGCTTTGAACTAGCTGTCAGTAACTGCGAGTACTCTCTGATCTGTACTAAGTGTCTTTTTGTTGTTTGGATGTACAATTACCCGGCCACGTCCACTTGTATTTGTAGTATTTGTATTTTTATCCATCTGATGAGTTAAGCCTCTTTCAACTGATTTGTATAGTTCGTTCTTATGTTGTACTGTTACACCACTGTCCCAGGTTAGGGGTGGGTTGGGATCCCGCTAACATGTTTAACCCCGCCACATTATGTATGTATGTGCCTGTCCCAAGTCAGGAGCCTGTAATTCTGTGGTTGTCGTTTGACACGGTTTGTTTATGTGTTACATATTTGTTTTTCGTTCATTTTTTGTACATAAATTAGGCCGTTAGTTTTCTCGTTTGAATTGTTTTACATTGTCATTTCGGGGCCTTTTATAGCTGACTGTGCGGTATGGGCTTTGCTCATTGTTGAAGGCCGTACGGTGACCTATAGTTGTTAATTTCTGTGTCATTTGGTCTCTTGTGGAGAGTTGTCTCATTTGGCAATCATACCACATCTTCTTTTTTATATAATAAAAGCTTTTATTTATGTACATGTACAACAAACTGTAAATTGATAAAAGAATATTCTCCAAGAATCACACTACTAAATTTATATTATTCAAATGCATCCCATATGCTTTCAACTAACTAAACAAAAGAAACATTTCAATTCAATCCACTTTTTAGTCTTTGCACTGCTGTAGATTATAATTTCATTTGTAAATTTATATCAAAGCTTAATATATTTATAAAATTGAGAATAGAAATGGGGGATGCGTCAAAGAGACAACAACCAGACTAAATAGCATAATACAGCCCAAGGCCACCAATGGGTCTTCAACACAGCTGGAAAATCCTGCTCCGGAGGCGTGCATCAGCTGGCCCCTAAACAAAAATGTGTACTACATTTAGTTCAGTGAAAATGGACGTCAAACTTAACTCCGAATTCGACACATTTAAATGAACTAAAATTAAAAAAAAAACATACAAGACTAACAAAGGGCTGACGCTCCTGACTTGGGACAGGCGCAAAAATGTTGCGGTGTTAAACATGTTTTGTGAGATCTCAACCTCTCACTTCACCTTTAGCCAATGTACACATATATAGAAATACATTGTCTGCAATTTTGAGTGTCACTGCTAAAGAATAAATTTAGGGTCCCTAACACATTTAAAATATATATCTACATGTAGATATTGCTCTGTGTTGAAGGCCATACCATGAACTATAGATAATCAAAGTGCTGGATAGCACCTGTGGAAAGTTCGCGACGGTAGATGTGTATTATTTCAAATAGGTTGTAGATGTGTATTATTTCAAAAAGGTTGTAGATGTGTATTATTTCAAATAGGTTGTAGATGTGTATTATTTCAAATATGTATTTAATCACAGCTTTGGTGTTTTTCCTTAAACCATTGTCTCATCAGCAATTATCAAAAATCACTTTTTTATATATTTGTCATGTAAAGTTTTGATAATTTCTATTTCAACCTTAAACTGTAGATTTAAAATAATCAAATATACAGAAAGCTCTGTTAATTTCTTTCTGTGCCCATCCCATGTAAAGGGCCTGTGATTAAGTTTTTTTTATTGATTAAGGTCCTTCATAAATGTTGTAGTACATTGTATTATTACTAATTAAGCAGTTAGTTTTCTTGTTTGAATTGTTATATATTGAACAAACTCGGACTACGATTAGTAGATTGTGTGGTTAACGGTTTTTTACTGACTTCTAAAAATGTTTACTTAATACAATAAATAATTGTAACAGGATGCTGTTACGAAGTTTCCCAAACAAAGCTCCCATAATTAGTCATTCCCATGGTCACCTGACATTGGGCAAAGCCCAGTACAAATTGGTTTGGTCTAGTAAAGTGATATGCATAAGTGACGCCTAGGGATTAACCCTGTATGTCATTCAAATCTTCTTGAAATCATGAACAGGAATATATATGGTTTAGGGGTGGGAATCTCGACCGTTTAGAAGTTCTCGAAAAAGGAGGGGGGTTTATTCTCAAGGGACTCTTTATTTCATTTGATTTGTTTTATTTTCCCGTACAAGAATATATATGGTTTTGGGGTAGGGATCTCGACCGTTTACAAGTTTTCAAAAAGAAGGGGGTGGGGTGACCCCCGTTGACTTCCCCTATATTTCATTTGATTTGTTTTATTGTCCCATACAAGAATATATATGGTTTCAAGGTGGGGATCTCGACAGTTTATAGGTTCTCAAACAGGAGGGGGTGGGGTGACCCAGAGGGATTCCCGCTATATTGCATTTGATTTGTTTTATTATCCAAAACATGAATATATATGGTTTAGGTGTGGGGATCTCGACTGTTTACAAGATAAAAGCCCATTCTCAAATTGAAAGGGGGTGGGGTGACCCAAGGGGCTCAACCTATATTTTATTTTATTTGTTTTATTGTCCTACGATTATTACTGAAGACCGCGTGTGTCTATCACTTACTTTTCTCAAGTTATAGTCATTTGAAAATTTAAAAAAATAAAATCCCATAGGGATCTTTAGTAAATCCCTCCCTTCTGAAGGCCCCTCAAAATACCCATAAATAGACCCCAAGAAGAAAAAAAATAAGAACTGAGCAAAAACAATAAGTCTCCAAACTTTGTTTAACTTAATAATCTTGGTAAAAATAGCGTCGAAAAATGTTCATGAAATATTTTAAAAACGGTATTTATTTTCTTTTCAACCGGAGGACGGGAAGAAACCCCTGAAACCGGGATTTTTGTACTCCCGTCGGGAGGTACACATAATATGGATCTCGCGCATGTTTGGGGAATACCGATAAAAGCATAACGTAGAAACTGCTGTCTCGTGTAGATGTGTATTGATTTTAATTTCCGCGCAGCGCAGATCCGCGAAGTAGTGTTTGTGATAGCCATTTTCAAAATGAAGTTGAATTCATTTGAATTATCAATGAACATTCAGTACATTTTAATTCAAGCTGTAAGCTAATCAAAATAGAAGTAACTCAAAATTTCAAAAGCATCTTCCTAGAATTAGTATTCAAACACTAGTACTACATTATCTAGGAGTAGAACACTTGCGATAGTCTGTCCAACTTCCGGTTTGAGGCCGATGCCTTAGGAAAGTATATTGCTATAGCAAGCTATAGCAAACTTTCCAAAAACGTAAACAATTATTATATGTCTCTGGTGGAAGGTTTGTCTCACTGACAATCATGCATATTCTTATTTTTAGAAGATTTTATAATGTTGGATTGATTTGTTGAATTAAATTACTATATAAACTTTCAATTTAAATTCCATACTAGCTAATATAAAAAATGATTCAACGAAAAATATTTTTATTTTAGGAACAGATAAAAACAGTAAACAATTAAATAAAAGGAATAAAAAGTAACAATATATCCTCCCTGGAACGCCATTAAAGAATGCTGTTGATGTTGACTGTATATCCATGTTATGTTGTCAAATGATCATCATTTAAAAAATATTTTGATTAAATTCGGTGCTTTGTGGTTTCGCAAACAAACAGCGACTCTTTTCACAAAAGTTCTTACGATTACAATTGATCGTAGGTTATACTGAAATGTGTATGACTTACGAGTATTTTTACTCTTAAGATTTTTTGTGAAAAGAGCCGTAGATCGGTAAAAGAATTGTCCAAATCACATTCCACTGTTGTGTTTGGCAATAAGACATTTCTCTTCGTTATCACAATAACTACAAATAGTCCACTCATGTCTAATTACGTTTAGAATGTATCTATGTATCATGTTATTGTATTTTACCACGTTGAATGTTTGATCTAGGTCGTTGTTTATGTCAATTTCCGTGTCATTATTGCGTTACTTTCAAACGCACAAAAGACCAAACATTTTGTTACACAAAGTAAAAGTCGGACGCGCGCGGCTCCGTACTAGACGCGGGTTTTTAAGAAAAGTACTTTTGTCTCGTCGACCTTTCACAACACGCGGGGGATCCGACGAACGAGGTATTAATTTGGTGTGGCCTTAGGGCAATATTTGTGCCGATTTGTTGGTGCTCCGTGAAAGATCACAAATGTTCATAACATCAAACTACAAGTACAATTACGACCCATCTAATATGACAGCAAATTTTAGACTAGCTGCAACTACCATCCCTAAAATGGAGAATGTGTCAAAGAGACAGTAACCCAATCAAATAGCAGAAAACAGCCTAATGCCACCAATGGGTCTTCAACACAGCAAGAAAAACCCGCACTTAGAGGCTGGCTTCAGCTAACAATTATGTATATTAGTTGAAAGCATGGAATTTGACAAGAATGTTTATGTGGTAATTGAATTTAACACATGAACCCTTCTTTACAATTTAGAAAATCTTCTAAAAATAAGAATTTGTATGATTGTCAATCAGACAACCTTCCACCGGAGACAAAATTTGTTGAAGTTTGTAACTAGTTAACGGTATGACCTTCAGCACAGAGCAATACCCACATGCATAGATATATTTGATTGTCATTAAATTCTACAGGAAAGCAATGACTTTAGTGGAATGTATTGAAATGTTCCATTTGTTTAGTTAGTATATATCATCTGACTGGTTCATTTGAATGTTATAAATTAGTGAGGTTTTTGATGGACAGTCCTTTATTAATTGTCAGCTTTATACATGCATTTATGCTTTGCATACATTCATTTAAAACAACATACAATGCATCAATTATAACTTACATTAAAAATGGATGCATGCCTGTTCAAAGCTGTTGCACTTTTTCATGTTCAGCGGGATCATATTTCATGATTTGATCAGACTACACAAAGTTGTAAGTTTTGCTACAAGTTAACCATTTTATACTTGAAAATGTTGTGAAAAGATTAAACAGGGTGTCAGAGAACAAATTGGAAGCACAGTAGGGTAATATAAGAATTAGGATATGAAATATATTAAATATCAAGCACCAAAATTATGTAAATTTCTAATCGATCGCTTGCTTAAAATCCTTTTCATAGATTTTTAAAAAACAATATTTCAAAAATAATATCGCTTGCTAGTAAAAAATTCTTTCGCCTGCCAAAAATCAAATTTCGGAAAAAAAAACAAATGAAAAAATTTCGCTCTCTCGCTACCCTTTTTCAAAGGAAAGAGTCCGAAGAACTAGAAATTAATTTGGTGTGGCCTAAGGTGGTTTTTGAATGTGCAAATGTTCCTTAATACGATGTTGAAATTGTATGCCAAATGACGGTTTTGATCCTGATTACACGGTTCACTGAACATAGACATGTGATAATAGGAAACCTTTGAAATTATATGACAAATTACGATTTTGACTCCGATCTTACGGTTCACTAAACAACAATATCGTCATTGACGAAAATAATAAT